CCGGTACGAGACTCGAACCCACAACCTTTGGGTTATGAGTCCGACTCTCTAACCATTAGGCCACGACTTCCCCAGTAAGGGAAAGTAAGTCATGCAGGTTTGAAACAACATGAGGGGGAGTAAATGAAGAGTATTTTTGGTTGAACTATTATTTTATTTATGAGCAATAATTAGCAAACACTTCTAATGAAATCACAGTGTGTCAGAAGGTTGCATTATTCTTTTAATCACCTTCATTTTTAGTCACCTGCTGAGGTAAAATGAGAGAGGTGTCAGTGCCCTAATGGCACTTGTAGAACATTATTGTTTTTCCCTTTATTCCTTTTAAATAGTTGAGGTAATTATAAGGTTGTGCTACCCAGGCAAGCGCAGTAAAGGAGACAGAGAGCAAGATGCCATCCAGTGACATCTCTGTTAATTTGGTGTAATTTTTGGCACAGATGTCCTCCATAAGAGCGGCAGGCGGTGGACTCAGGCCCGTCTCCAAATCAGTCCATTAACACCAAGCCCACTGCGTCGTTTCTGTCCATCAATCTGCACGCATTTTCCAAATTTTCCAAATGAGACCCTTCATTCCCAAAGCCCTTTAATTACCAATAGCCCATATTTTACAGATCAGACCCCATATTTTGCGTGTATCTATTAGTGGGGGATATTACAGCGGAATTGAGCAGAAATGGAATGATTAGAATTGAATGAACAGACCTCATCATATCCGAATGTGATGATTGTACTGGACCTGTCTTATCTGCTTCAGTTTTATTTAGTCACTGTGTGGAAGGGGGAAGGACTCATTTGCACTCTCATTGTGATCAGGATAATGTAGCTATTGTCTCAAATTCAAGCTTGCATCAAAATTATTTTCCCTAAATGATTCCATTGGGTTGAGTAACGTTTTCTTTTCGGTGTCTGATTAAAAAATATAGCACCGTTAATTTATACAATCATAAGCTTTATACCTAGTGTGCTTCCTCGCTGCATAGTTCACCCAAAAATCAAAACTCTGTCATCATTTACTCACCATGATGTCGTTCCAAGTCTCTATGACAAAAGAATGTTTTGAAGAATGTTGGTAACCAAACAGTTTTGGTTCCCATTGAATTCCATTGCATTTTTGTCCATATAATGGAAGTCAATGGGAACTGAAACTGTTTTGTTAACAACATTCTTCAAAATATCTTCTTTTATGTTCCACACAAGAAATAAAGTCATGTAGGTTTGGAAATCCGTTTCGGTAATTGAAATAAAGCTGAAATAAAATAAAATATAAATAGATGAAAAGCTTAAACTTAAATTACTAAGTAAAATGATTAAAATAAAAACTGAAATAAAATAAATGTAAGCTATGTAGAAATATTTTTAAAAAGCACAATAGCACAATAAAATGACTAAAACTTAAAAGTTAAAATGAAAACTGGAAATATGAAAATAAAAGCGAATTCAAACTGTAATAGTATATAAAAATACTAAAATAACACTGTAGGCCTACTCTAATACAAATAAAATAGCATGCAAAAATATTGAGTGAAATGATCAATTTTTAATTAAACTTTAATTAACCTTTTATTGATGCTTTTCAGTAGCTGTTGAATTACATTTATTTATTTATATTGATTTATGTACAAACCTGATTCACAGGTTATTTTAGACCACCGGGAAACAAAATCGTGTTTAAAAGTAACCTCTCTGATGAAAAAACAGCTAAAACCAGCATATGCATTTAGCTGGTGTTCAGCTGGTTTTGGTTGGTTGATCAGCTGGTCCCCCAGCCTGACCAGCTAAAGAAGTGGTCAAAACCCCTCTAAAACCAGCCTGCTAAACCAGCTATGACCAGACTGGAAGACCAGCTAAAACCAGCCAACCTGCTGTTTTTTTACCAAAGTTTGCAGGGTTTGTGGGATTGAGTCTATGAAAGTTTGTTTTGTTTGAGTCACTTTTTGAGTTTTGTTGGAGGTGCAGGGGCTTGGTTTTGTCACAGCATTGTCATTTAAGATAAAGGACAGTGAGGTTTGGTTCATCTCCGGCCCAGCATTGGCACAGTTTTGGCCAAATGTTGTCCAGCGTTGGCTCAGCAGGCCTGGTGTCAGGTGAGGGGTGCAGACAAGCCCTCTCTCTCCAGCTCCAGCGGGACACCAGGCAGAACTCGCCAAATCTGTCACCGTGCTCCAAACACACATGTTCTGAGAGCAGCTGATGGGACCATGTGTGACTGCAGACACAGGCCAACAGCCTGCTCCTGTTTTACAATCCACACAACATCACAAGAATCATAAACCCATTGTTAATATTTGCACATGTTTGGGCTGTTGTTTTTCTAACAAAATGATAACACATCTTGGAGGAAAATGTGGATTTTTTACAAAGTTAAAGGGATTTTGCAAAAGATTAATAGGATGGAAATTTAAATTAAGAACAAGTAAAAGCCTACATTTATTTATTCATTCATACATTTAATCTAAACAATATTCCCAAGAAAAGGAGAGGGGGGGGGTTATTATTATTATTATTTAATACATTTCAAATTATTGCATAACTTAATTATGATATTATGGTAAAAAAAACTAACAATAATTATTATCTTTTAAAAAGTCTAAAACTTGATCTAATATATTTAGAAATGTACATTTAGATGATTTTACTTATATTTATATAATTTTACTAGATTATGTTTAGATAATTTGACTTAAAATACATTAAAAAATTGTTTTGTTTGCACTCCCTTTCAAAAAGTTTGGGGTTGATAAGATTTTTTGTTGTCGTTTTTGAGAGAAGTCTCTTATGTTCACCAAGGCTGCAATTATTTAATCAAAATACTGTAAATACAGTAATATTGTGAAATATTATTACAATTTAAAGTGACTGTTTTATATTTTAATATATATATTATAAAATGTAATTTATTCTTATGATGCTTGTAAAGCTGAATTTTCAGCATCATTACTCCAGTCTTCAGTGTCACATGATCAGCCAGAAATCATTCTAATATGCTGATTTGCTTCTAATATGATCATTCTGATATGATTATTTGGTCATTATTATCAATGTTGAAAGCAATTGTGCTGCTTAATATTTTTGTGGAAACTGATCTTTTTTTCAGGATTATCTTTTGAATAAAAAAAGTAAAAGTCAAAAACAGCATTTATTTTATTTGTAAAATTATAAATATCTTTACTGTTACTTTTGATCAAGTAGAAATTAATTTCTTACTCAACTCAAACTTTTGAACGATAGTGTATAACTATTAATTTTTGTGTGCATGCATCAGAGCACACCAGAATTGATAATTTCATGTTTTGCATAAGGCTAAATACCATTGAATTCACAACAAGTCTTCGATAAGATTTGTTGTCTTGTTGTGGCTGAAATCTGAAATCTGGACAGATAAGAGGATCCAAGTTTCCTCAACAGTCCATCTGACCTCCCACCATTTGGAAGTGGAGGAGAGAGAGACAAGCTGCCCTGGAACACATGGTGAACACCTGCAGACCAGAACATACACACACACACACACACACACACACACACACACCATCAGGCTGTACACTTGCCCATCCTGGCAGTTCATTTTACAGTTTCCTTCTGTGTCTGATCTATGATTTCCTTTTTGTTTCATTGTATCAAGCTATAATATGTTGCTTTTTCCCTCAGTTTATATCTTTTAAAAGGAAGAATTTACCCCAAAAATAAAACTGTCATCATTTATTCATCCTCATGTCTTTCCAAAGAGGTTTTTCTTTCTCTCATGAAACACAGAAGCTGTTCCCCCCACACACCCACACACACACACACACACACCAGACCAGACCAGAACACACACACACCAGGCCAGACCAGACCAGAACACACACACACACACACACACACACACACACACACACACCATCAGGCTGTACACTTGCCCATCCTGGCAGTTCATTTTACAGTTTCCTTCTGTGTCTGATCTATGATTTCCTTTTTGTTTCATTGTATCAAGCTATAATATGTTGCTTTTTCCCTCAGTTTATATCTTTTAAAAGGAAGAATTTACCCCAAAAATAAAACTGTCATCATTTATTCATCCTCATGTCTTTCCAAAGAGGTTTTTCTTTCTCTCATGAAACACAGAAGCTGTTTTTCATATTTGTTTTTCATACATTGAAAGCATATAGTGACCAAAAAGCACCACGAAAAGGCGAAAAAGCAGTCCATATGTGTGCTGTATAGTTATATGTATAATAAAGCCTATGTGCTATACAATAGCTGTATGTAAATATGGTGAGCTTGAGTCACTTGAATTTGCATCACTTGAATTTGCTCTTGAGATTTTATCAATCTGATGTGAGTGGCTGTGGAGACGCTCTCTAATGAGATGCAGTAGAGGCAGATTGGTCGATTAGTCTGTCAGCTCCAGAAAAACAAATAGTCTTGTTGTGACATGTCACTTTGGCTTAGGGTAACAGTGTGTGTGTGAAAATGTGTCAGACAGTGAGTGTGTGTGTGTGTGTTTGAGGTGTGGATTGGATCAGTAATGTCTTGACCCTCTTGTTCTCTGTGTCTACCCAGCATCCCCGGCTCGGCAGTGTGTGCGTTTGACATGCAGCAGCTGGCACGTGTGTTTGAGGGCAGATTCAAGGAGCAGAAATCACCAGAATCCATATGGACACCTGTACCTGATGAACTGGTACCAAAACCCAGGTATCTATCTATCTATCTATCTATCTATCTATCTAT